TTTTTTTTTGTTCAGGTTTGACATCTGTCTTTATTGGCGGTACGCTCTCTATTAGAGCTCTTAGATAACTAATTGAAAAATATAAATCTGTAATTTAAACATTCCTTTTTAAGCCTGAACTCGCTAATTTGGCATTATAACGAGGACATTTTTCAATACAGTACAGGGAAACGTCGTTTTACGCCGGGGTTCTGTTCCGAGAGACACCGGCGTAAACAAAATCGGCGTAAAATGAACACAAATATAATGGACAGTATAAGGTTAGGTTCCTGTTATGTTTATTTAATACATATCCTATATATATTCAAAATAAATAATAATCTCTTGATATAAATAATAAATTTTTTGAAATAAATCCAAAAATCCAGTTTCATTTGCTTTGATTGTTGCTTCCTTTTTTGCAGAATCATAACATAAGGTCGAAGGGCAGCTATGACACTTCTTTTAACATTTGCGCTTCGATTGTAATCCCCATCTATGTCACAGAGCTCACCTGTTAACCTTTCTATAGAGGACAGGATACGAGTTAGATAGTTGGTTTTTAGGATTTTCTTTCTCATCCTCTTCTTCTTCTTCGGGATTTTCTGATTGAGGGCGATCATATGCCTCCATCAACTCTTCTAATTCTTGATTTGAGATTGGTTATTCATGCACGTCTAACAGTCCGGTCACATCTTCAGTTGTTACGTCTTCGAATCCACATTCGCGTGTAAACTTGATAATGTCTTCGTTTATGTTAATGTTATTTACCACTTCTACACTTGCACCTTGTATAAATCCAGGAAGAAGTTTACACCAAACGCCGTTTAAACAATTGTTTGTCACTTCGTCCCTCTTAGCTTTTGTCAAGACCTCTAAAAGCCCGTGGATTCTGGGAATGGGAATACATTCTGGGAATACACGACCATTGGCTTAAATTTTAAAGAAGCAGAAATATTTGATTCCAAGAGAACAGTCAGTCTATCCTTGGCGGCTTTAAATCCACGAGCACTACGTTCTTCTCGCGAAATAAATGTTCTCGATAGCAACTTCTTCCAATAGAGGCCTGTTTCATCAAAATTGAAGATGAGATCTGCAGGGTAGTTCCCTTGTTCCACAATTTCTTGAAACTTTTAAAGGTAAGCTGCTGCTGCTTCTACATCAGCGCTCGCCGCTCGAGGTTTAAACGGATATCAGTTCGAGATTTGAATCTCGTGAAGCACCCAGTGCTTGCCAAGAAAGTTTCGTCAGTGATTTCTTGCGCCTTCAAATCAGAAAAATCAACTGTGCTTTTTCGCATATGATTGCTAGTGTTACAGGAATATTCTTTTGATTGGCATCATCAACCCACAATGCCAAAATTTTTTCCATTTTCTCTATATTTTTTTATTGTCGTCTGATGTCAGGCGAACCGGGGAATCCCACGCCGGCACCAACCGGCGTAATTGTGAATCGGCGTAAACCGAACCAGCGCAAAACGACGTTTACCTGTACATATCTCTATGACGTTTTTTTCATTATTTTCCCTCTCTTAGAATCCGATAATTATTTGTGTAATAAAGTTATAACGTTGTATCTCCAAGCTGAGGCAATACCACAGAATAACCAGAAGTGACAGTGGCAGTATCCTTCATCCTTCCTTGTCTCTGGGCAGTATCCCGCCAAATCTGACGTCATACTATAGCGAGTTACCAAGATATGTTGTTATTGGTGGTAAAGATTTGGCGGGATACCACTAGTGTCACTTCTGGTTATTCTGTGCCAAGGTCCTGTGAGTATTGGTTATATGGAACTTATTATATTATGGAACTAGAAACATTCGGATTTAGCTGTATATGTCTTTTAAAACGGCTAAACCCAAATTATTTTAGTTCTACTATATAATTTAATATACGTACTTTTCTAATACGTATATTCCGTATATTTAACCTTTCAACTACTACAATCTAGCGCTTAATAACAATTAAAACTAGAAGTAACACTAGACCTAGAACTAGAATCATTTGGGTTTAGCCGCACGTTTTTAAAGACGGCTAAACCCGAATGATTCTAGTTCTAGGTACATATAGTGTTAGTTCTAGTTCTACATTAGCACCGTTACTATGTAGAACTAACAGTATACCTAGAACAAGAATGATATAGTGTTAGTTCTAGTTTTACACTAGCACTGTTACTGTGTAGAACTAACACTATACCTAGAACTAGAATCATTTGAGTTTAGCCGCACGTCTCTAAAGACGGCTAAACCCGAATGATTCTAGTTCTAGATATAGTGTTAGTTTTAGTCTTACACTAACACTGTTACTATGTAGAACTAACACCATACCTAGAACAAAAATCATTTGGGTTTAGCCGCATGTCTCTAAAGACAGCTAAACCCGAATGATTCTAGTTTTAGATATAGTATTAGTTTTACACTTACACTGTCACTAGAACTAACATTAGACCTAGAACTAGAAACATTTGGGTTTAACCGCACATCTCCAAAGACGGATACGTTCATAACAACATCGTTCATAGGAAGTTGGATAACCTTATACAGTATTTTTACTCAACGGACCTTGATTCTGTGCTTTTGATAACTCGCGATAAAATGGCGGATTTTAAATCGAGCTCACAAAACGAGGTGCCGCCATCATCAAACGAATCGACGTCAGTGTCATTTCTGTGTTATTTTGTGGCAATACCTTGGTTTCGTTCTCAATCTTCATGGGATTTTATTGTTGAAGTTTATTGGTCAATGAGGGCTAAAAGTAAATGGTTAGCCGGTGATGTCCCCACAGTCCGAGGAATTTTATTAATTTAAATCATCTATACTCTATTTTTTAAATCCTGAGAAGATTTTAAGTAAACTATAGTTACGAATTTAATTACTTATTTGTTTAAACATAATAAAAACCAGGGCGTATCTACTTACTTTCTGAAAACGTACGGCTAAACCCGAATGTTTCTAGTTCTCGGTCTAGTGTTAGTTCTAGTTTTACACTATCACTAGTACTAAGACAAGACCTAGAACTAGAATCATTCGGGTTTAGCCGTCTTGAGAGACGTGCTGCTAAACCCGAATGTTTCTAGTTCTTGGTCTAGTGTTAATTGTAGTTTTACATTAGCACTATTGTTAGAACTAATACTATATCTAGAACTAGAATCATTTGGGTTTAGCCGTCTTGAGAGACGTGCGGCTAAACCCAAATGTTTCTGGTTCTAGGTTTAATATTAGTTCTAGTGACAGTGCAAGTGTGAAACTAGAACTAACACTATACTTAAAACTAGAATCATTCAGGTTTAGCCGTTTTTGGAGACGTGCGGTTAAACCCGAATATTTCTAGTTGTTTCGAATTTTCCTAGTGTAATTTTTGTTTAAAATTAACCAATAGCAACCCTTCTTTTTGGCGCTTCAATTTGAAAACACTCCTCCGAATTAAAAAATAGAATATAGCTTATCATATAGCTTGTTACATTGTTTACAAAGATGTAAATTGTGATCGTGAAGTGCACATCTTTATAACCGAAATAAAGGAAGTCAAAAAATTAAATATTGTTGATTTTGATGAAAAATTTGATGATGCTTATAATGCTAAACATTTTGTTATTGTTAATTATTTATTTTTAGTTATTTTAATGAAGAAACTAAGGTTGCCATTGAATTAGGAAAACAGAATGTGGGAATTTAACCTCTATAGAGTTGTAGTTAGCTTTATCTCGATTAGAAAAGTACGGAAAATTTTAAACAAAGCAAAATTATAAATATAAAATTTACATAATTTCTTTTATTATGTTAAATATTTGAACTATATATAATTCAAATTAAGCGTTTATATCCTTCCCTTCTAAAAATTCCAATAACGGCTCGTAAACGAGTTCCTTTGCATCTTTTCCAAAAAGAAAACTGATATGAGTGAAGTCCGTGCCGGGAATTTCGTATTTTAACTTTAAACTGTTTTTTAAATCATCCGCTAAATGTTCAATGTCTGTTGTGGATATCAACCAATCGTTAAGTCCATAAAATATCGCATTGGGTATATCAATATTTCCCAAGTTTTTGTAATTTTTGGCAAATCCATCTTAAATTATACAAATTAATTAATTAATTAATTTCTTATTTATCTATTTACCGTTAAGATACATGTCCACATAACTTTTTAATTGTTGAAAAGAGCTTCCTGCGTATGCATTAGATAGCATTACAGGTACTTTACTCTATAAAAAAAACTAAGGAGTTAAATATATTTTTTAAGAATAATACTTACTCTTGGAATTTGTCCATTATCAAAACCGTAGATTAAGTTAACAAACCCAGCACATAATTCGACCAACAATGCTTCATCATCGCATAATTTAGCAAAGATATAATTTTCGGTTTTTGAAAACATGTCATTAAGTTTACTTTTAAACAGCAGGTCAAGTAGTCCGAAGATAGACTAAACATTAATTTTTATAAATACAAACATGAATCAACTTAATAATCACTAACCTTAAGATCCAAACCATCACCCAATATAGTAGGTACAGTATTTAAGATTCTAAAGAATAAATTTGGCATATTGTCCATATGAGCCATTGGTGCTAAACCTACCATACGTTTAATTGGAGGTTTATAATCGGGCAATTCAGATGCCATAATGTAAAATAATGTACTTCCTTGACCATGACCAACATAAAAAATTTCTTCTGCCCCTGTGGTTGTTGTAATATATTCGATTATTTCTGGTAAATCAACTTTTGCAACATCATTTAAACTATTTAAGCAAAAAAGGATATTATTAGTTCAATAATTTATAAAAACGATAAGATAATACATACTTAAATCGCCAATATTCGTTATCATTTGCTGGATTTAGCGATTCATGATTTCTTGAATACGTATTACCTCTAGCATTTCCAAGCCATACATCATAATTTTCATCGGCCAATAAAAACGCTAAACTTTGATTCCCATTACTTACAAAATCAGCGGAACTGGTTAAAAATTGATGCATAATCAAGATAACTTTTTTATTATCATTATTAGGTATTCTGTGAAGTTCCAATATGTTCCCATCGACTGTTACTGTGTGTTTTTCTAAAGTATAACCATATTTCTCAATTAACTCATCCTAAAATTCATTAAAAATTTAAATTATTTAAATAAATTATTAATTTCTTCTTTACTTACAACATCTTTGTATGCATCATCATCCGATACGGCACTAACCGCGATTATTAAAGTTAATATAAAAAATGTAAATGTTTTAAACATCTTTTATTGATTCTTTGAGTAAAGTGAGCCTTGTTTAAAATAATATTTGTAATTCGTCAAAATGAATTGGGATATTTCAAGTGCAGTGATATGATAAAGGTTTATCTTTAAGTATTGTCATGCATCTTTCAATTATTTTTGATAAAGTTAGAATTGAAACAGAAAAATTATAAGTAGGTATTATTTCAATTCTTCTGTCTCTTATCAATATTTGAAACGATTTTATTTTTTACAACTATTAAAGATTTCGATTAACTTTCGAAATTATATTTTGATAAACATTATTATAACTTGCCACAATTTGATAATCAAGACCCCTAAAAACTTGAGTACGATAAAGTGGAATTTCAAGCAGACCACAACGACGCAAATATAATTGTTCTATGTTGGTTCTGAATGAAACCTTATCGCAACCAATAAGGTAAATTATCAATTTTCAGTAGGGCTTGATATACAAATTTTTATCCGCTTACAACATCATTCCTTTGAAGTATACTGAAATTGATTATTTTATTAAACCGAGGTCATTTGCGGCCGAGGCGCTACAATTGCAATCATATGGGACAACATATAATGTAATGCCTCGGCCACAAGTGACCTCGGCTTAGTTAGTACGGAAGGTACTATGTCATTTTATTACGCCGAGGTCGCTTGCGACCGAGGCGCTACAATTACTAATGCATTGGACAACATATAAGCTAAGTATTCGATACCAGACGTAAGTTTTATTTTTAACATTTATTTCAACTGGTTAAGGAAAAGATTATAATTAAATTATTTTGTATTTTTTTATAGGTATGTATAACAAGAAAAGAATACAACAGAATATTTGCGAAAAACGTCTACTCTTTATGCGCAATAAAAATGTGGTTAAAGTTATAAAAGCGAACTATATAAGTCTATAGGATTTCATACTGTAAGTCTATAACTACAGACTGTAAGAAAAATATATAAATTATTTTTTGGCTACAGGCAGCATAAATATAGCTAAATATTAGTACAAACTGCAAACCCAAAACTGTCAACATATGTGTGAGGTTTATGCTCAATAGAGATGTAAACAAAAGTTTCAGAAGTGAACTATAGACTTTAAGTATCATATTATACATCTATAATTAAAATTCTTTTTGGCTACAGGCAAGTCCTATCGGCGAAAACTGAAAAATGAAGAAACTGAAAGGAATAGAATTGTAATAGTCCATATTACAATTAAAATATTGTATGGGATCTTTTTGCAAAAAAATCAATGGTGTAGTGGAAGAGACGGTTGAGCATGTTTTATTCCACTGCCACGTTGTTAATCATATCAGATTTTCGATCCTTGGGTAGCACTTTATCTCCCCAAAAGATCTAAATGATTTTTCACCGAGCAGGGCATTAATATTCATTAGGAGCATTGGACTCTTAGTCTCGCAAGGTTGGGTGGTCCGCCTAAACAATATGTAATCTATGTAATGTTACATTCCTTCACACTATAATTGGGGTTCAATACAAAACTGACCTATCATAACATTCCTTCCCGCTATAATTAGGGTTTCAAAACAAAACTGACCTATCCTAACATTACCCAATATTTTGTCAGAGTTGAATGACATTTGTAAATAAAACTAACCTAACTCAATTTTTCTTTTCTGGAAGTCATTGTTCATTTTTTCAATCTTTAAACAAAAGATGATAGCTGTTTGGGGATTTCGGCATTAGCAGTTTTTCGAAAAACGAGATCGTTTTAGAAATAGCCCAGGCAGACAACGAATTTGGGACACCCTGTACATTGCATACTATAAATATAAGTCATACAGCGTATATAGATGCAGATGGAATACTGCAGAGAATTGCTAGAAACGACACCTTTAAAACCTTACCTGTCATACAAACCATACCTACAGCCAAACTATAACTACTATCTGCAAAGTAGTTACATACGAGACACTTGGGTTTTCGGCATTAGCAGTTTTTGGAAAAATGAGATCGTTTCAGAGATAGCCCAGGCGGACAACGAATTTGGGATACCCTGTACATTGCATACTGTGGCACCTTAAAAGTATGTAACTATGTAATGTTATTGATAATAACATCTGCTTTTGAAAAACATTAAAAAAAGTCTTTTACAATAAAAAATATAAAAACCTTCCATAAATTGGTGACCTCGATAAACACGAGCCTTCCATAAATTGTTCCCAATTATTATATGATGTCTGGAGTCTACGTGTAGTGTAGCGCCACATCACGTCGTCTGATGAGTGGAACGGCAAAGAAAAGCACCCCCGCTACTACAAGTGACCAGAAATCACATAGTTATTGATCTGGAAAAGAAATTCTTCGAGAAATTCGGTTGTCCTCTGGTAAAGACGCTGGTAATATTATTGATAATGACATCTGCTTTTGAAAACGTTAAAAAAAGTGTTTTACAATAAAAAATATAAAAACCTTCCATACATATTATATATATAAATGTAAGTCATACAGTATGTATAGCGCAATATAGCTGCAGATGGAATACTGCAGAATAGCTACCTACAACCAAACTATAACTACTATCTGCAAAGTTGTTACATACCTGAGACAAATTCACAGAAATTCAAAAACTTTCTTATATCCGTCATAAGAAAAATAGTCACTTTGGAGAAGATAGGATTTCTATATTATCACTTGGCGAAGCAGTGGATTTCTCATGCAAAAAAAAACTGGTAGCTTTGGAACTTGATATCATTTTTGAGTTCAAGTCTTGGAGAAAGCACGTTGAGTTGCCAACTGTAATTCAAAGTGGATGTTAGTTAAGCCGTACACATTTGGATATCGTTACCATGCATGTGCAGAAAAGACTAAACACTAGGAAAGATCCCCTATGATGGCACAGCGACACATTGGCCAATAGCTTCAATAAGTAACAACAGTTTTCAAGGCTTTAATTTGGTTGAAAATTATCAAATAAACCAAAACACACACTTTCATTGTCCTAGATAAGTAGAAGGCTTTTACTCTCAGATGTTGCTATATGGGTTATCCAATTACAACTGCAATTTAACTTTGAATATAGAATTTGTCTGATTAAGATCGGCTTAATAATACATTAAAATCAAAATTTATCGTTCAAGTCTGTGATTACATTAACAATAGCACGCTTTATCTTATAATTATGGTTATTGTACATTAAAGATTTAATACTTGGAGTACTCTGTGAACAGTTTATATAATATCAAGGGGATATAGCTCAGTGGTAGAGCATTCGACTGCAGATCGAGAGGTCCCCGGTTCAATCCCGGGTGTCCCCTTTCTTTTTACTTATTTCATAATAAGTTATTATTTTTTATTGTTGTAATATTTTTGACATATAATTAAAATTTATTACGGAGAGTTTTTAGTGTCCATAAATTTATTCCATTTCCACATACACCGTTAATATTTTACATAACATCTTGATGCGAATAAAAATATTTACAAATGTTTATTTCGTGGTGTAATTATTTAATTAATATAAGTGAGTGACTTGTAATAAATAACACTCTTAATATGTAAATGATTTGTCGCTTCCTAGTAGTTGATAAATTAAATAGATCGATTATTATTTTTCAAGGTGATTTTATCTCAACAAATTTTATTTTAATAGTTTACCAATTATTTCAGTGCCATACATTTTTTTTTAGTTCTAAAAAACTAATTATATGATTTAGATGACTTGTAGGCATATAGATAGGGCATAAAGACCTTGTTAAAAGTGAAACACCTCTTTAATAGTTTAATAATTGTGATAAAAAATAGAAAATTGACACTTTCCTTAAACTGTTTACCAAAAACTTTCCAAAAGAAATTTTCAAAATTAGCAACTTCCGCGTTATAATTAATTATTTTTAATTTTGATTAAAAATGTAGTTACCAATAAACAATACTTGAAGGACTTTTCCGACGCGAATCCTATATTATATCGTCCGGATTTTGTAGGTGGGTCGTTGTTACCTCCGGATTGAATCTCATCGCGATCCTCCTCCAGTTAAAAACTTGCACGCGCTCGTTTATTCCGGACTCTTTAATACCGCGCCGAACCGTTACTTCTCGTTCCCGACGATGTCACCACTTTGCTGGCTCCGTTTCGTTCTTCTATTGGTGATGATGGTTCGTGGTACCGTTTCCTTCAGTTCCTATCTACTCGAGTTGACGATTGGACCGCGGCTGAAATCTTTAGAAACATTAAGAAACCAAGAAGATTACAAAAATTCAACATCCCTCGATGCAGTGGTAAGATTTATAAATAAATAACAAAACTTTATAAATAAATAACAAAGAAAATAAGAAGTGGGCTTAATCGCAAAATCTTGAGCTGTACTGGTTTTCAGTTAGCTGACATACATCGAGGTTTTGAATAAATTTGGAATGAATACGTGAACGTTTTATAAAAACAAAAAAAAATTTGATTAATTAATTAAATAAAATTAACCAGGAAGTATAATTATAAAACTTAGCGAGAAACCAAACGAACTTTAATTAATTGGTAAAACGAAATCAATATTTAATTTTCTTACTTAAACATTTGCCTCGTTAAATTTTTAATGTTTCCCCTTGAATATAGGATGTTCAAATATGTATAATAAAAGTTCTCATTCGTTATTACCATATTATATCGTGTGACATTCTTTGTTAAAAATCGAATGGGGACAATTGGTAACCCATCGTTGGAAATTCAGGTTACAGTGACATCCACGTTTGGTGAAATGAAACGTTTGGATATTCGAAGACAACGGAAGAAAAAGAACGAAACGAAACGACATATGGCGTGTCATACAGTTATAATACAAGAAGTGAACGATAAGACATGTGCTGTTACGCATGAGTAATCGCTTCGAGTATTCTGCGTGATGAGCTCAAATTCTTGGAATTTTTACGAGCCGAAATCGAGACTCAGAGAACCCGGGTCGTCTCATCGTAACCCACATTTTCTGCTGTATAAGCAAAGAAAGTGTATTTTGATTTCTTCGTATTGAAACGATATCAATAGAAAATAAAGAAGAAGATCCGGGAGGAAAATGTTTCAACAATTCTCTTTAAATATTTGTTTTAAAGAGTTACTTTAAACATTTTTATTTCTTGAAGTCTAATTTTTTCTGCAAATTAGAACATTTTCATTGAAAATAGAAATAAAAGTAGAAACATCCCGATTTAGTCATTCAAATAATTTTAGGAGCAAGAAGACATTGAATACATACACTGAAATTAAAAAAAGAGAGATTAAGCAAAGATGCTGGACAGAGAACATTCAAAGAGATCAAGAAAAAACAGATCAAACAGTGACTAAAATGGAAAGAAAATACTAATAATGAGAAAAATGATATTGGGCAAAGACGAGAGAAACTGGAAAGAGACAGCTAATAGAAGAGAGGAGCTAGACAGACAAAATAGGGACTGCGAAGAGACTTGAATGAGAAAGACATTGAATAGACAATGAAATGAAAAAATGAACCTGGATAGCATGGTAATAGAAAAAAGAAACTGGACAGACAGCATTGGAACTCGAAAGAAAAAATAGAATAGACATTGGAAAAAGAAAAGTAAAATTATGCAGAGAGAAGGAAGACTGGAATAAGACTGTTAATAAAAGAAAGAGACTGGGCAGAAAGCGTAGGGACTTCAAAGACACCAGAAATAGAAGAAACAGATCAAGCAGAGACTAGAATGGAAAGAAAAATACTGATAATGAGAAAAATGATACTGGGCAGAGACGAGGGAGGCTAGAAAGAGACAGCTAATAGAAGAAGAGGGCTTGACATACACCATAGGGATTATAATAAAAAGAAGATATTGAATAGACAATGAAAAGAAAAAAATGAGCCTGGATAGAGACGAGGGAAACTAGAAATAGCCTGGTAATAGAAGAAAGAAATTGAATAAACAGCATAGGAACAGCAAAGAGACTAGAATGAGAAGAAAAAGACTGGTAATAGAAAGAAAAGATAGAATAGACGTTGGAAAAGGAAAAGTAAGACTAGGCAGAGAGAGGAAAGACTGGAATGAGACTGTTAATAGAAGAAAGGGACTGGAGAGAGTGCATATAGATTTCAGAGACACCAGAAATAGAAAAGACAGATCAAACAGAGACTAGAATGGGAAAAGAACTGATAATGAGAAAAATGATGCTGGGCAGAGACGAGGAAAACTGGAAAGAGACAGTTAATAGAAAAAAAGGGCTCGACAAACAGCATAGGGACTGTAAAGAGACTGGAATAAGGAGAAAAAGACTGGTAATAGAAAGAAAAGATAAAATAGACGTTGGAAAAAAAAAGAAAAGAAAGAATACTGGAATGCGACTGTTAATAGAAGAAAAAGACTGGACAGAGAGCATAGGAACTTCAAAGAGACCAGGAATACAAAAAACAGATCATAGAGAGACTCTATCCAGGTTCATTTTTTCTTTTCATTATCTATCTTTCATTACCAGTCTCTATCTTCTCATTCCAGTCTCTTTGCAGTACCTATTCCAATGCCCTCGTTTGCCCAGTATCAGTTTTCTCATTATCAGTTTTTTTCTTCCCATTCTAGTTTCTGTTTGATATGTTTCTTCTATTTCTGGTCTCTTTGAAGTGCCTATGTTTTCTATCCAGTCTCTCTTTTCTAGTAAGAGTCTCATTCCAGTCTTCCTTCTCTCTACATAGTTTTACTTTCCCTATTCCAATGCCTATTCCATCTTTTCTTTCTGTTACCAGTCTTCTTCATCTCATTTCAGTCTCTGTTCGATCTGTTTCTTTTATTTTTGGTACAATATTAAGTGTAGTATGGTTTAATAAATCAATTAAAAACTTGTAGCTTTTAAAAACACTCTCTTATCTGTTTTTCTTAGTTTTGTTTGTGATGCTCTTCTTTCTTCGATGTTTGTGTGGTTTGTCATTTTAATTATATTCTCCTATTATATAATCTAATATATGTACTTTTCTAATACGTATATTTAACCTTTCAACTACTTCTATAAAAATATACAACAATCCAGCACTTAATAACAATTAAAACTAGAACTAACACTGGACCTAGAACTAGAAACTTCCTTGTTCTAGGTCTAGTGTTAGTTCTAGTTTTACACTAGCACTGTTATTATGTAGAACTAGCACTATACCTAGAACTAGAATCATTTGGGTTTAGCCGCACGTCTCTAAAGACGGCTAAACCCGAATGATTCTAGTTCTAGGTCTAGTGTTAGTTCTAGCTTTACACTAGCACTGTTACTATGTAGAACTAGCACCTAGAACTAGAATCATTTGGGTTTAGCCGCACGTCTCTAAAGACGGCTAAACCCGAATGATTCTAGTTCTAGGTCTAGTGTTAGTTCTAGCTTTACACTAGCACTGTTACTATGTAGAACTAGCATTATACCTAGAACTAGAATCATTTGGGTTTAGCCGCACGTCTCTAAAGACGGCTAAACCCGAATGATTCTAGTTCTCGGTATAGTGTCAGTTCTAGTTTTACACTAGCACTGTTACTATGTAGAACTAGCACTATACCTAGAACTAGAATCATTTGGGTTTAGCCGCACATCTCTAAAGACGGCTAAACCCGAATGATTCTAGTTCTACGTATAGTGTCAGTTCTAGTTTTACACTATCACTTTAGTATGTAGAACTAGCACTATACCTAGAACTAGAATCATTTGGGTTTAGCCGTCTTTAGAGACGTGCGGCTAAACCCAAATGATTCTAGTTCTAGGTATAGTGTTAGTTCTAGTTTTACACTTGCACTGTCACTAGAACTAACATTAGACCTAGAACTAGAAACATTTGGGTTTAGCCGTACGTCTCTAAAGACGGCTAAACCCGAATGATTCTAGTTCTAGGTATAGTGTCACTTCTAGTTTTACACTAGCACTGTTACTATGTAGAACTAGCACTATACCTAGAACTAGAAAGACGGCTAAACCCGAATGATTCTAGTTCTAGGTATAGTGTCAGTTCTAGTTTTACACTATCACTTTACTATGTAGAACTAACACTATATCTAAATCCACAATATGTAATGCTACATTATACATTATGAAAATATACGGTAAGAATTTTCAGACTATTTTAATTTGACTGATATTTTGCCATGGCAAAACAATATTGCATAATTGCATAACTAATTTTCATGAACATCTTTTCTGAATATTTAATATAAAAAATGGTATAAATATAAAATACATAATAAAAATTTATTCAAATTAATGGTAATTTAGAAATAATCGTAGTTATTACTCAATTTCATGTAATTCTTTTTCAAATTAATAATTTAAAGTAATCCGGATATAAAAGGATATGTATCAAAAAAAAATTGTGATAAAAATGTTACCGAAAAACGATATTTTACAAATTGGTTTAACCATGTGGAGTTTATTGGGAGAAAGTATTCATAAAACACCTAAATGGTTAATTTTTTATCGTATCTTTAACGGAATAATTCTCTTCGAAGTAGTTTTATACACAACTTTAAATCTGTTGCACGTTGAAGGAGTTAAATTTGTTGACACGATTGCTAATATATCCAGTGCAATCCATGTGAGTATAAAAAAACTTTAATATTGTTTTAATTTTTTCGTTTTAGGTTTTTTTGAAATATTTCTTTTTTATGTATCACAAAAAGAACGTTTGTTATTTAATAAACCAACTTGAAAATTTTTGGGATCCGCCTAAATCTAATTTAAAATTGAAAAAATGGACTAGGAAATTGTATAAAGTTATTCGAATGGCACAAAAATGTTTTGTTCTTATCGTTGGGGTTCTTATAATTTTGTATTATTTAAAACCTATTTTTAATCATTCTAGTTTTCCTTTCGATGGGTATCCAATTACTTCTTCGTTATTTTCTGAGATTTTCGCATTATTTTCTTTGTATCATTTTTTTCCTATCGGATTATTTTGCATAATGGGTTATGATTGTCTTTATGTGTCATTTTGTATTCATTTAATAATCCAATTTCGTATTTTAAATCATAGAATGAAATCAATTGGGGTGAATAAACATCAAATAATAAAAGATGAAATTAAAATGTGTGTTAATTACCAAAATTTTTTACTAAAGTAAGTATTATTTGTAATATTTACGTTATTTTGTTTACATTTTGTTTCAGGATTTTTAGGATAATAAACGAAACTTATTCAGCAATGTTTATGTGCCAATACTTCATGACTTTGGGATCGGCTTGCAGCCAATTATATCTTTTAAAAATTAGTACAAACGGAGTTGATTCGATGAAAGCCATCTTAACATTAGCAGTGATTTTTGCGCAATTTGCAATTTATGCTTTACCGGCTGAACAAATTGTAACGGAAATTTACAATTTAGCTTTTGCTTTATACTCGTCATCGTGGCAAGAAATTCCATTAAACTATCAAAAAGATGTTATAATTATGATAATGAAAAGTCAAAATCAAGGATATATAAGTATCGGGGGATTATTTGATATGAATATAAAAACATTTGTTTCTGTAAGATGAATAATTTAAGGTCATGGTGATTATAATTTAATTTTTTTATTTTAGGTTTTTAGAAAAGGATTTTCTTTTTATTGTTTATTAGATAACTTAATTAACAAATGATGAGTGTTTAAAAACCTTAATGCAGTATTGCCAACTTCAAAATATTGTAATTTTTACTCTCAGCATCACGTTGAACAGTGTCTTATTAATAACTTAATAATTCTTATCAGCGAACACATAATAAGCAAAGCAAACATATCCAACACAGGGGCGCTATCTTTTTAGATACAGAAAAGGCCTTTGACAAAGTTTGGCACAATGGCCTAATACACAAAAGGAAATTTCGAGTCAAATTGGAAACGGAAATAAACGCTGGGGTCCCTCGGGGCTCAGTACTAGAACCACTGCTCTTCAACATATACATATCAAACATACCGACAAAACCACCATAGCACAATTCGCAAACGACACAGCAATCTTTACTTTAGCAAGAATGAAATCAGCAATAATTAAAAAAACTCCTACAAACAACAGACCAAGTAATAAGTTATATGGAAAAATGGAAAATAAAAGTCAACGAAGACAAGTCAGAAGCTGTAATGCTCGTGTATAAATAAGACCGCAACCCAACTCTCGAAAAAGCCAAAATCAAGAACAAGGGAATAGAATAGAAAAAAGAGGTTAAATATCTAGGTATCACACTAGACAAGAAACTAAACCTGAACAGCCCAAATCAGATGAAAAATAGCAACCATAACAGCAAAACTGTACCCTATCATCAACAAAAAAAAGCAAACTAAACCTAAACAACAAAATAAAAATCTACAAATCAATAATAATGCCGATAGCCGCCTATGGCGTTGCACTATGGAACATCGGTAGTAATCCAGCTAAGAAGAGATTACAACAAAAACTAAACAGCACACTACGTTTAATAACAAACCCACAAAAACACGTAACAAACGATCTACTAAGGTTATCCTAACATACTGTATAAGGTTATCCAACTCCCTATGAATGCTGTTGTTATGAACGTATCCGTCTTTAGAAACGTGTGGTTAAACCCAAATGTTTCTAGTTCTATGTTTAATGTGAGTTCTAGTGACAGTTCAAGTGTAAAACTAGAACTAACACTATACCTAGAACTAGAATAATTCTATTTTAGCCATCTTTAGAGACGTGCTGCTAAATCCGAATGTTTCTAGTTCTCGGTCTAGTGTTAGTTCTAGTTTTACACTACCACTATCACTAGCACTGCCACTAGAACTAACACAAGACCTATAACTAGAATCATTCGGGTTTAGCCGTCTTTAGAGACGTGCGGCTAAACCCAAATGATTCTAGTTCTAGGTATAGTGTCAGTTCTAGTTTTACACTAGCACTGTTACTATGTAGAACTAACACTATACCTAGAACTAGAATCATTCGGGTTTAGCCGTCTTTAGAGACGTGCGGCTAAACCCAAATGATTCTAGTTCTAGGTATAGTGTCAGTTCTGGTTTTACACTAGCACTGTTACTATGTAGAACTAATAGCCGCACGTCTCTAAAGACGGCTAAACCCGAATGATTCTAGTTCTAGGTATAGTATTAGTTCTAGTTTTACATTTGCACTGTCACTAGAACTAACATTAGACCTAGAACTAGAAACATTTGAGTTTAGCCACACGTCTCTAAATACGGATACTTTCATAACAACATCGTTCATTGGAGTTGAAGGATTTTTAAAGGTAGCTTAAAAAAGATTTTGTGTCAGAAAACATTTTATTCTGTGCAGGAGTTCCTAAATGCAGGGATCGGATTGTAACCACCATACATTCTTGGTTTTTGTTTATGCTAGTGTATTTATTAAATAAGAAAATGTATTTATTTGGACGAGTGTAAGAGCAGCAGCTTAGTAACACAATAAAGTATTATTATTATAACCTTATACAGTATGTTTACTCAACGGACCTTGAATCTGTGCTTTTGTTAACTCGCGATAAGATGGCGGATTTTAAAACTAAGTGCCGCCAAAAAATCAATCGAATCGACGTCAATGTCATTTCTGATTATTCTGTGGTGCAACTATGTTGTAGATTATTTATTAACCATATTTCTTGAAAAAGTGAAAAACGAAAATGATAATTTAAGTACCTAAAATTGAAAATGAATAATTATTTCATATAAAAAAAATCTTTTAAAATTTTACATTTGTAAATGTACTCATTCGGACATCAGAAAATCCACCAGCTGTAAAAGCCGATTGTTTTAAAGAAGCTGCCATAACCATAGTTAATTCCCTTCGAAATGACGGTTTGCTTTCATACCATTTTGAAGCGTAAACCGCATCTGATAGATTTTTTAACTACAACAAAGAATTTAATTTAATTTTTTATAAATAAATAATATAAACATTATACCTGTTCTGTTAAGTATTCAGCGGGAAAACAATAAAGTGCAAATTGTATTTGAATTGTTGCAACGTAAAAGAATTTGTTGATCACTTCAGCGATATCAAGAGATTCCGCACTAAAATTTTTATTTTTAATACATCTTTTTATTAAATATGGTGAGTTACTTTGTTGAAATAATAAAAAAATCCATACAAGTGGAAATTAAAGTTGAGAAAAATTGAGCTAAATAAAGCGGTGAATAAACTTTTCTCATTCCCCCAAATAATCTAAAAAATTTTAATAAAATCATTATAATTTTAATTTATTGCATAAACCTTAATAAAAATTGATGATGTATAACACAAATTCTAAGCTTTTTCCGGCATTCAATTTCTTCTTCCGGAGTACAATTAGCGGGTAACACCAATTTACCATATTCTTGTTGAAGCAATAATAATTGCACGTACATGTGGACGCACATTGCAACAAATAAAGAATCTGTCCCAATTATAATCATCAAAGCAGCGTATAAACTATGGCTTTGTAACAACCAAAGCATCGCGGTAATAAAAGGGTTATCAGTTGGTAACCAAAATTCCATTATCAATGGACTTTCTTGATATATTGGTTGTAAAAGGAATGTAAATACGGTTAAACCTGCAACACCGCTCAAAACGATTAAAAAAGTCCAAATAACTTTATAAATATGATCTATTTGTCGTCTTAGTTCCGGTTCTGCGATGTCTATAGACCAACGTTGTTCCAAATTGTTTACAAATCCTTGGAGGACTTTTTTATTTAAGACGTAGAGATAGTACTTTGTAAATAACTAATGAGAGGGAGCTTGAATTAAATTAAGTTTAGCTAATTTCCTTTAATACTAACGTGATACTCCGTAATAAAAGATTCCATCGATTTTACAAAGAGTTGATTTCTTGTTCGTAAAAGGTTTAGAACTGTGAGTGTACCAATTATTGCAACTCCAGCAAACACCAAAACTCTATGTATTTTAGTTATTAAAGTTGTTTTTTGGAGATATTCAAAAACACATTCGAGAAGAGTTAAACCTATTTCTAATAAATCTCCTCTTTTGGGCATTTTGTATACGCTCGTTCACGATCTTATAATCAATCATGAAAAGAAAAACGAACATTTATAGGTACATAACATTTAAATATTTTATATTATTCACACGAGAAAATTTTGTTCACAAGTTTAATTACTAAATTGACCAATTCTTTGAAATTATAAGTTTCAAGTTTATAATTTGAAAATTATAGAAATTATCTATATATCCTAATTTTGAAAATGAAACTGACGCATTATTAATAAACATTAATGGAGTTCATCAAAGATGTTATTACAATGTGCTAGTAAAATAATGACCTTGGCTTAATAGTGCTTTCCGTGCTAAGCCGAGGTCGCTTGCGGCCGAGGCATTAGGTTATATGTTCTTCAATGTGCTAGCAATTGTAGCACCTCGGCTTAATAAAATAGCAGTATATTCTGTACTAAGCCGAGGCATTAGATTATATATTGTGTTAGCAATTGTAGCGTCTCGGTCATAAGCGACTTCGGCTTAATAAAATAACAATATATTTCGTACTAAGCCCATAAACAATGAATTTTATTGTATACTCATTAGCTTTTACCGGTTTCGCCTATTCGGCATCTTCAGAAAGCTTTCTATATACAGGGTGGTCCATTTAACGTGATTATCTCGAAAACGATTCATTTTACATAAAAATGAACCAAATGAAAGTTGTTCTGTGCGAAGGGTGAAACCATATGTCGATAACATTTTTTGACCTTGACCTTATTTTCAGGTCACCCGATGCATGAAATGCTCTTTCAAACAAGACCAAAAATATTCAAATCGCTTGAATGGTCCAGGAGATTTTAAAATGTAAACATTTGAAAACGCATTGGCCTCCCCCTCCCTTATTATGACAGATATGAGAAATATCGCAAAACAAAAGCGATGCGGTATTATGCAAGCTACTAAATGATGTGGTCAAAGTTATAGCTCATCGTCTAAGTTTCTGAGATAGCGGGAACTTTGTGTTTCTCAATGGCAGTTACGTCCCCTAGCGGTCGAATTACGAACTTCAAAATAATTTCCAGCTATTTCTCTTGCCCACTTTGCTTNAAAATTATAGAAATTATCTATATATCCTAATTTTGAAAATGAAACTGACGCATTATTAATAAACATTAATGGAGTTCATCAAAGATGTTATTACAATGTGCTAGTAAAATAATGACCTTGGCTTAATAGTGCTTTCCGTGCTAAGCCGAGGTCGCTTGCGGCCGAGGCATTAGGTTATATGTTCTTCAATGTGCTAGCAATTGTAGCACCTCGGCTTAATAAAATAGCAGTATATTCTGTACTAAGCCGAGGCATTAGATTATATATTGTGTTAGCAATTGTAGCGTCTCGGTCATAAGCGACTTCGGCTTAATAAAATAACAATATATTTCGTACTAAGCCCATAAACAATGAATTTTATTGTATACTCATTAGCTTTTACCGGTTTCGCCTATTCGGCATCTTCAGAAAGCTTTCTATATACAGGGTGGTCCATTTAACGTGATTATCTCGAAAACGATTCATTTTACATAAAAATGAACCAAATGAAAGTTGTTCTGTGCGAAGGGTGAAACCATATGTCGATAACATTTTTTGACCTTGACCTTATTTTCAGGTCACCCGATGCATGAAATGCTCTTTCAAACAAGACCAAAAATATTCAAATCGCTTGAATGGTCCAGGAGATTTTAAAATGTAAACATTTGAAAACGCATTGGCC